TGTAAAGTTACTGTTTAATATAAAAATAATAATAATGAGAAAACATTAAACGCATGATTAAGACTTCTGAGTAGTCACAACATATTAAATTTGTTTGCGTTGCATATGCGTTGCATATGCTCCAACATGTTCCTAGCATCTATTCATTTCAACTTGATTTATATTATTAATTGTTAAATTATCTTCTTTTGTCATGATTTTCATGTTTCATGCATATTTTGATCAAAAAGTTCCCGGAATTCATTCAAAAAATTCAAAATACAGTTTTATTCATCAAAAGTGATATTGTCCCCTTCAAAGTATTCCCCATCGACTGCAACGCACTTATGCCAGCTCTCGAAACATTTCTGGAACTCTATTGTCGGTATACCCATCAGAGCTGTCTTCGATTTTACCATTACCTCTTTTCGGCTGCTTAAAACGCGTTCCCCGTAATGATTTTTTGACTCGATCGAACAGAAAAAAAATCAATTTCTCAAAATTTCCAAGGTTTTCACACCATTGAATCCACTTTTAACGCAAAATTTACTACAAACTCGTTGTTGCAAATTCAACTCCATTTTTAAAACTGTAAAAAATCGAAAATACGTGCAGAAGTAGATGTACTCAAGACGGCGTCTTTTACAAATGTCAAGCTATGGTGATAAAATTTGGTGGGAATGTCAATGATAGATGTGGCAATTTAACCAAAAAAAAAAACAGAACTCAAATCAGCTAACTCAGAGCATCTGGTGATAATTCCGGGAACTTTTTGATCAATGATATAATCATCATGATTTTGCTGTGCTTATTTTAGCACCAGAACTACCGTGTCTCCATTTATTCAAAAAGTTAATAAAGTTAATAAATCATAAGTAGAGATTGCTAATGGTACAGATCACTAATGATAAGATTTTAGCCTCGGATACTCCAACGCGTTTTATTCATTTAACTTTTTCCTAATCGAATGACACGTTCGATGAATTTTGGCACGGAGTCAACGAGGAAGCGAGAGAATCACAATTGCCAGATTTCAACTGAGATGATCCCGAAGACTTATGCACTGGAAATCCTACGATCTTGCCTAAAATTGATAATTTCAATAGGAATTTGCAAGTTTTGTATTAATAGCATGTCCAAATTATATGGCTTCTCAAAAAAGAAAAGTCATTAGATTTTTCACCCTTCTGGAGATTTCTTTTCAGAACTTGAGAAATTTTTTAATCCCACTGTTCAGTAAAAAATTTTTAATGCACAAATATATAAATGTATATAAACACATATAAACATGTATAAATATATATTCATTCATTCGATGCAACTTCACAACCCAAAGTCAGGATCTACTTCTCGTATGTGTACGCCCGTGGTACGTACACAGACACATGCGGCAATTTAACGCTGGTTTCCGAACAAGTGTATAAACATGTAATTATATATGAAATCCATATAATTCATTCTTTTATAATAAACTACAATTTAATACAAGAAAAAAAAAATGAGAAAACATTAAAAATAATTAAAATAATTAAAAATAATTGGAAAAAATCAAATTTAGAAAAATTACTAATGTATAATTATATACAATTGTATAGATGTATTGTAATTTTTTTTACATTTCTCCAAATTGGATTGTTTCTAAAGGAAATAATGGAAATTTTCATCACCTACCGGAGTATCGAAAAATCGTGCAAAAAATCGGAAACTTTAAAACAGAAAACTGCAAGAAAATTGGCAACCGTGGAGAGAATTTCCGTTCTTCTCTTCGATGCGCTGAACAACGGGACAGCTCAAGAGAATATCTATTCTCCTCTCTGTATTCGCTTGTTTCAAGCGACCGAAAATGCTTTCTCGTCAATTTCGGGCACTCGGCGTACATCAATAAGGAGCAAAGGATATTCTAGATAACATATAAATTTTAATAAATTGTGGTAATAGTATATTCCTCCCATTAATCCAGAATAATCCAGTATAAATCATGTGAAAACGCAATAGTTTACAAAATATTTAATTGTTTATTAAAATCATAAACAATTAAATATTTCGTTTTCACATGATTTATACTATTCTGGATTAATGAGAGGAGTATACTATTATCACAATTTATTAAAACTTATATGTTATCTAGATTGATCCTCGCCCCTTATTGATGTCGGAGACCACCGAATGGCTGAGATTGCCGAGAAAGCATTTTCAATCGCTTGAAACAAATGACTAATGAGAAGGAGCTTGCTATCTTGTTCACTCTCGGCGCGCCGAAAGCGAGCAGTGCGAGCACACGTACATGGGTACTCATGTTTGAATGTATTGCTACCAGTTTCGCTAGACCGCCGTCTGATTCGGTGTCGTCAACGACGTTCAACGAGTTCTTCAACAGAGTTCTTGGCTGAGTAGTCTGGAGCCTTAATATCTTGTTAATTATTGCGAAAATTGTAAAATGGTAGAGAACTTTTCGACTCAATTTTAGTCCGCTCTATCAGCACATGAAATATTTGGCGATCATTCTATCTGAGACATCCTATATACAATGTCATTAAGTTATAAAAGATACCTCAATTCATTTTAAATGTATCATTTTAAACCCAATAAATTAAATTACAGTTTATGTGCTAATGTACAAAACTCTGGGAATGTCGGAAATAAGCAAGAGTTCATCGTATGGTACGGAGGATACAAAAAAGGACAAATAATTTCAAAACAATTGCTTTATGAGAGATTCCCGTAAAAAAATAGAAGTATCAAAACAAGGATCGAAGAAATAGATTATACGATTATACAATTTGGATGAGAAGAGTAACAAGAAAGAAGATTGGAAAAGAATACAACAGATACGTATATATTTGATTTATACTCTTGTGTAATCCATTCGGTGCGCGCAAGCGCACATGCAATAAATGCGTTTTCTGTATGGATTAAATATGTAACACATAGACTTACACATACTTAATATACAGAGTATTCTGAAATTCACGAATAAAAATACAACATTAAGAAAGTTTCTAAAAAATTAAGTAAAACAGTTATTTGTAAATTTTTATTTTAAGCAATAGTTTTGTAAAATAATAAGAGTTTAAATATGACCAATTGCAGACTACATTTGAACGCTGAAGTGCATGTTTATTAATAGTGTTTTTCCTTGAGATGCACTGAGTGAAGTCTTCCTCCCAATTGACTTTCATTTTCAATTTTAAATATCACACTGACTGTACACTATTCCTTTGTTGAGATGGTGTAGCAAAATCTCTGCACTTCGTGCATATAACTTGCTCTATACCGTAATCACGGAAACCCCTACATCCAAATTAGTAATACAAATGAATTTGCCTACGATCAGCTATGGACATGCTACATTGTCTAATAACGTTTCCTACTAGGAGAACTAGTGCATACTGAGTGCAATTTTATTGTTTCACTGTCATCAGTTAAAAATCAGTTCACATATTTTTTTAGTGTTTAATATTCCATTGATAAAACTGATGCAAACACTTGTAGTAAATTCAGTTTTTTTTCTATCATCTTTGAAGTGGAGACCAGTGCAGTTGAAATTGAGGTTGTGTTAAAGTATGATGTTATGTTACGATATGATATTACATTATTCTAATTAATGTCAACAATGACATTGTGTTAATTTTCTAATAATAAGATGTTTCTAATAATAGCTACGCAATGATATTTTGATATTTAAAACTCTTGAAACGTAAAAAATTAATTTAAAAAAAATGTCTTAAATAAATAAATGAATCAGAATATTGTAAAATAAGTAATATTTAAGTTTGACATAGTTATATATACATAGTTATAGTTATATTTTTTAGGAGGATTATAAAATGGATATCTTATGATATATTCCATTGAATTACACTACTAAACCTGCTAATACTAAACCTGCACTATTATTGCACTATTAGATTATTAGTTTTCAATGAAACCTAGCACAGCGCTGGTGTTGCACCAGTTTTTTCAGTGGAAAACGCTATAAATGTTGCACTAGTGTAGCCAAAGGAAAACGCTATAATCATATACTCGATTCATGGATAGGTGATTGTCTAAATATAAGCTATAATTGATTACATTTAAAATCTTAAATCTCAAAAACTACTTCTTAAAATAAAAATTGTATACATAACTTTTTTATTTAATTTTTCTGTGGTATTTTCGCAAATTCCAGGACACTCTATATATACATACACATATACGTGTATGTGTGTGTGTGTGTGTGTGTGTGTGTGTGCGCGCGTGTGCGCGCGCGCGCGCGCACATATGTGTGTGTATACATATATATATATACATATATATATATATATATATATATATATATATATATAATTGGTATTATATATTATATGATGTTTACATCTTTTTTGCATTATTTTTTTCGTATATAGCAATTGTTATTGTTAAATAAACGATTTAATCCCAATCATAGACAACAATTATTTATATAAAATGCCTTGGAGTATTCCGATAAAGGTCCAGTTTTTTTTGCACATGCGCAGTGGATTCAGCATCAGGGAAGTATTAATTCCAGTAATTTATTGGCAGTAAATATAAGTATTAATAGATACTCTTGTTAAGCTGTCTTAAACAATATAGAATATTAAACAATTTCAGAATTTATATACATATATTTCAATGATGAAATTAAGTAATCCACAGTTTTAAAAGGTTCATTGTGTTTTAAAAAAATATTGCTAATTTAATTTCTGCTTTATCATTATATGTGAGAATGATTCTGTTATTATCTATTCATTCTCTATTTTGCAAAGTTATATCATCAACGTGTTCGACTGTCTATGATTGCTTCGATTATTAATGTCTTCCAAAGTAATTTAGTTTTAATTAACTTAGTTCAACTGTCTTTTCATCTTTTTCTAGTTTCAAGAAGTAAAAAAAGATGAAGTTGTCGAAATAAAAGTATTTCTATATTGATAGAAACAGACATAAATCTGTTTTAGTGCACAGAATCGCCAAGACCATCTTTGTCTCTATAACATTATTAATATCATGTTTATGTTATTAATCCGATTTATTCTGAAGTTATAACATCCGATTATAACTACTGATGTTATAATTATTGATGATGTAATATTAGATGTCCTGTTAACGGTATATTTTACGATGAAATTATTACATTAATGTAGTAACTTTGTCGTAAAGTAGTTTACACAGTATTTAACATCAGTAGTTATAACATCAATGTTATAATTTTGATGTAAATCGAACCTTATAAACTGTGTTGGAAACACTTAGATAAGAGTTGATCTTATTATCAATTAAAATTTTTTCAAGCCACAAGATTCTTTTCTTGATGACGAAAAAATGCACACTCTACAGAAATCGGCAATAAATCGAATATGTGTTTTATTTGAAAATATCACATTTTAGAAATATCACTTAAAAATTTTAACGTAAAATTTTAAAAAAGAAGATTTTTTAGTCATAACGTTATCATTAATAAAACACATTCTATAATGTTCAAAATATATTTCATATTTTTGTATTCGTATCGGATGGATAGCTTTAGAATGGCAACCTCAATTTGCATTAAAATAATAATATGATGTTAATTTGACAAGGGGAACACTAGATGATGGAGTCGGGGATTTTGATTATATTACTTTTTATAGGCTATTTTTGAGCGAAAAAAAAACGATGTGTCGGCTGTTTCAGCTATTGGCTCATAGTTTCGAAGAAATCGATTTTTTAAATAATTATTATAATAATTTGAAAAATGTACTATATAAATGAAAATATCTGTATTTTTAGAAATTTTATTTAATTTTATTACTTTTAATTATTTTTTGATTAATGAAATTGTTATGAAATTACATATTAGTATTATAGATAATAATTAAATACTCATTTATTTATACACACAAAAAAATGAATTCTTAAAGAAATGCATAAATGCTTTAATCCAAGAATATTTTATGCTTAGAATAGCACCAAGAATAAACAATTTCCAATAAATTAACAATAAATTACTCGTAAAATAAAATAAATTTATTCTTAATTCAAAACAAATTTTATTTCAATAAGAGAATAAAATTGCACTCGTTCCCCAGTATGCTTTTTTAGTAACTCAAGATTTTTAATAAATCAAGATGACAGAAATTAATGCTGCAGTAGTGACGACAGCTTTGTATAGAGCATGTCTCTTAATGTGCATGGAGTACAAGCTCCCAAAGAAAAACTGAATCAAATTTGGATTACCACCTTGATCAAAAAGTTCCCAGAATTATCACCAGGTGATGCTCTGAGTCAGCTGATTTGAGTTCTGTTTTTTGGTTAGGTTGCCACATCTATCATTGATCTATTTCCACCAAATTTTATCACCATAGCTTGACATTTGTAAAAGTTACGCCGTCTTGAGTACATCTACCTCTGCACGTATTTTAAATTTTTTACAGTTTTAAAAATGGAGTTGAATTTGCAACAACGAGTTTGTATTAAATTTTGCGTTAAAAATGGATTCAATGGTGTGAAAACTTTGGAAATGTTGGGAAACTGTTTCGGCAGTGATATTCTAAAGAAAACAGCCGTTTATGAGCATGAAAAAACCATTACGGGGAATAACGCGTTTTAACAGCCGAAAGGAGGTAATGGAAAAATCGAAGACGACTCTGATGGCTATACCGACAATAGAGTTCCAGAAATGTTTCGAGAGCTGGATCAAGCGCTGGCATAAGTGTGTTGCAGTCGATGGGGAGTACTTTGAAGGGGACAATATCACTTTTGAATAAAACTTGTATTTTGAATTTTCTGAATGAATTCCGGGAACTTTTTGATCAAGATATACTAATATAGCTCAAAGGCAAGAAATACTGAGACCATTCTATCAAGTCGTGTTGCAAATAAGGATGCAAACAGACAGTCAATTTCGTCACAATGGTAGAGAATGCTTATACAGGCATATACAGGCGGATTCATTGCTTGTCTCACCTATTTAACTTTGGATAGATTCGCGAATCAACCGCAAAAAATCTGCCCCCATGTATAAGCGTCTCTTCGTCATGTCGCAGTGACAAAGTCGGCCGGCTATTCGCGTATCCCTATTTGCAAAATATAACTGACAGAAATATTAGGACGAGCTGAATATTTCATTCACCCTTAAAGATTGAACCATAAATTAGGAACAAGTAAATATATGTAATCTTCTTTTAATTAATATTAATCAATTTATTAATAATAATAGAAAACTAATCGCGTTTTATAGACGTACATTGTAGAAGAGAAAAACAAATATTTATACTGCATTATGAACATCTTACGAATGAATTTTTGTTGCAGACACAATAACTTTTTCTAATATCTAGTGGAAAGCAGATTTGATTGACATTATGGAAATAGCTTCTTTCAGGAATCAATTTTGATGAGAACCAAATTTTTCATTCTAAAAGTCATTCGTAAGAATTTGTTTACAATGTTATAAATATTTATGTTTTTCTTGTTTTTATTATTTATACCATTCCGTACAATGTACGTTTACAAAATATGATTAGTTTTCTATTATTATTAATAAATCGATTAATATTAATCGATGAATATTAATCAAAAAGAGATTACAAACACATAACTTACTTGTTTCTAATCATAATTTCCAATTTCTAATTTTATAAGAAACTGTAACAGTTTTCATTACATTCTTGTTTATACTTGTTCATGTGAATAATAACAACGACGATGATAATCTCTGATTCAAATGATAATATATAAATATTCTATAAATGATTTTTAATTATTATCTATAATACTAATATGTAATTTCATGAAATTTCATTACGATAAAAAAGTAAATAAAAATTAAAACTAAAAGTAATTAAAACTAATAACATTAAATAAAATTTATAAAAATACAAATATTTTCATTTATACAGTACGTTTTTCAAATTATTACAATAATTATTTTAAAAAAATCGAAATTTCTTTGAAATTATGGGCCAATAATTGAAACGGTCGGATGTATTGTTTTTTTTCCGCTCAAGAACAGCCTGTAAAAATCCCCGACTCCATCACCTGGTATTCTCCTTGTCAGTATAATCATCGTAAAACTTTACAAAGATGTGACAATGATAAGTCAATTCCATTCCGATTTGTTAAATACTATATAACTTGTGTAACTTAAAATCTATTTCATCAGTAGTTATTTTCTATTGAATGTAAAATGTCTGATATAGATATACATGAATAGTAGTTTTATTTGAAAAGTATTTGAGATACGTGCGTTAAGTTTCAGATTTATAAGTGATGGTTTCATGATGGCGTTCTTGGTAACCACCAGTGGGGCCCGCTATGTAGTTCACAATTCTGAGGTTTCCTTTTGCATCGTAAAAACCATATCGACCTTTGACACTTCCATCTCGATGACGCTCTTCCATTTTGTACTGTCTATTTTTTCTACGAATTATATATGTATTATATATGTATTTTGATCTTTTTTCAATCATTTTTTTGAAAATTTTTATAAAATTTTCTTTAATCGATTTATTAATTTTATATATGCGATAATTAATATAGTTATAATGATGGCAGAGCAATGTATATTACCCATGTCCAGTATCAAAACCGAATACGTATGTTCCTGGTCCTCGATGATTCCTTATTTGAAAATCTATTCGACTTCCATCTGGTGATTGGTCTGATATCCTTTTCAACATCTTAGCGGAATAAATTGTCGAAATATTACTTGTA